CGACTTCAAACTTTACAGGCTGAAGAGTGAGAGGAGCTGATCTCATCATCATCTGAAGGACACGCCATAATGATTTTAGATTCTGACACTCCATTACTACAAATTAACCTACAGAAATTCAACACAGTGTGCACAATTTACGCTATGGCGATAACTTTCTTGGTCTTACAGCCATCGAAACAACTTTTGTGTCATGGCCCAACCTGCAGCAACACTAATCACAAACAGTGCAGCTTGCTGTGTCATTTAGATATGGAAGATTCAATACCACGTCAAGGTGGCTGAAATCGGTCAGAATTCAAATTACTGAAGTGCAATAGATGGTTGATGCAAGCAGTGATTTCCTATGTGTTTTTCATCCGTATAGTTCATGTATACGAAAAATTATGTGGCATTAGCAAGTGAGAATTTGAAAGTGATAAGTCAATTCACATCTTCTCCATGAATCTTGAATCATACAGGCGCAGATCGATTTGCAAATGAGAGAAATGAACAAAACTGTGAAGCACTGTGGGAAACTCGAAATGAAGATATAAGAAGCATAGGAGAAATGCATTGTGCAAATCGGAGCTTCCACTCATAGTTGATATGTCGTTTGATTACTGAATGAAATTTGACTGATGAAAAATTCTGCTACAATGCAGTGGTGTGTTCGACGTTGTTGATGTATGTTCTACGAAACTGTCCTGCACAATAAACGACCAATTACACAAGAAACAGTAATTTATCGGCATTATTTCAACTACATGCTTCAATCACTAGACAAGTTACTTCTTCATCGAATAACAAGCTACTTACTTCTCGCTTAGTGAGTCTTAAAGCAATTAACAGAATGATACCCAACACTGTGATTCCACCAGCGACGCCCAATAATATGAAGCTCACTTTCGCGCTCCGTTTCACAGTTTGGTATCCGATTATCAGAGCCATCACAGCTAGGGTGATTGTTATTCCCCATGGTGAAAAATTAGAAAATCCCACGGATTTGGTGACAACAGGTAATGCAATAGACCATGATAAGACCTAAAACATGCATGGATTATATTGAGTTACGAAATCGTAAGTACGTTTATCTTGAAATATCAACTTTAAGAAATACGTATAAAAGTGGGTAAAGTGATATTGTGGTACTCATCATTAGTTTGTCTATTATTCGGATGAAAAGATGATGGAGCATAATATATTCCTACAAACTAATAAAAGTGTGATCAGTTTGCATTTGAAAACTGGATGGATCAATCGGAAAATATGAGGGATTTTATGACGGAAACGAGAGTACACGAATTTTCTTGGAAGGCAATTTAGTTAAATTGAAAACCCTTCAGATAACAAGTTGATCACGTCACGCTAGTCCCCACCTTAATACTCAACTAGGCACTGACTCAAGAAATATTATGCAGTTGGCGTATCTTAATAAAATGTAATGCAATTGAGCCGAAATGTAACCAAGGTGGCGTGATGTTAACAGGTTATGTAGCTTGCTTTGCAATACTTGTTGCCGGGATTGAGCGTGACGACCACACATCCCTATTTATGAACTAGAGTGATCAACATATTTGAAACAATATTTACTACATTTGACTCATTCTCTCATTCTGAACCCTGTCGCATACGCGTATTGAACAGGCACGTAGTGAAACATGATATCTCAGTAGCCTAGAGCGTTTTAGAATTCTTCACCTGGTCAGCTGCACACATTGATTTGTCTATCATCAATATGTAATCCCTCAACAGGTATGTCTTCCACAGTCACAGCAGTGTAAAATGAATTTTACGCATGACAAGCAGATTAATCGTGTCACACACAAAACATTTCTTGTCTACATAACGTTCAATGAAGTCTGTAGTCAGCACAAAATCTTGCCGGACTTCTGCGTCGTTCGAGCCAAAGATGTCACTAATCTGTGACGAATCAGCCTGTACAAATTTGCTAAGCAGCCATTGATTTATAACGATTGTTTCGCGAAATTGTCAGGGATTTGAAAGAAACAAACATGCATTGTCATGAAACAAGATAAACTCACCGAAAGTGAGATCAGTACGTCATTAAGTGGGAAAGTCTCTCTAACTTTCTCATTAATGGAAAGCACTAACAAGAAGGTTGCACCGAGTACACTGAAAAAGCAAAAAAGAAATAGGAAGTTAAAGAAAATCAACAACATTGTGCATCAACCTTTCAGAGAGAAATAAAAACGCTGTTGGCGATAACTAGCGTTCAGTCATCAAAGCAGTGCTGTTTCAATCGAAGCAAAATTTGTTCCACCTACTTCCAGTTGTACATGTATATGAAATAATAACAAAACAACTTAGGATACTCCATTCAGCTGAAAATTAAACTCAAGGAACTGTTTGCTAGTTGAAAATAATTTTGCAGTCACCGTTGGGTGATCACATTCGACCGTAGCTCTCATTTTCAATCCACCACTCACCGAATAACATGTTTATCTTTTGTCACTGACGAAACATTCTTTAACAAGCTGACAGGTCAACACTGATCAAATATTTCAGTTCAACTGTCTCAATCAACAGATAATACAAGCATGCATCGAACAAATAGTGATTGATAGCCATGACACAAGAAGTGTCTATCATGTGTAAGCGATCGGCACTTGGTTCAAGGGTCAAAGGGAACACCAGTCACCACTAATAAGAAGCTTATCACAATAATCTACATAAAACTATCCAAAAACTAATGTTTCACCATCATAAAGAAACATGTTATGATTTACATCAAATAACTCACGAAAAAACCAGTGGTATGTAAAAAGCGTCGTACAGATGTCGAAGTGCTTCACTAAAATCAAAGGTTTGTAGTAAAACAATTACAGTAGAGACCTACATAGTTGCAACACAGGTCGTAGTGATCACCGTCACCAAAACCATTGAATACGTAAAAATTATGTACTTGATTTGATTACATGTTACACTGTAAATACACAAAGACGCCTACCTTTTGAAGACAGCTTTGTGCAGCAGTTGTTTTTCCCGAAAATACCTAAAGAGAAACTTGCATAAAAATATCAATTCACATGGAAAGAAGCAGCAAAACCCGGTAACATGAATGGATCCATGTACAAGGCATGAATTAAAACTATTTGATGATCATTCAGTACTCACTATGTCAGGTGGTAGGGTAGTACAGTCTTGATTACGCACAATCACTTCAGTCTTCATACTCTCCTGTGTTTGTTTCAGGTTAAACTTTGTGTAATTAAAAAATACACTGATGTGAGCATCAATCAGGTTTATTTAATTCAATTTTTCTACTAATAGACTTTGCACCTACTCTCCAATAGATAAATGACTTGTTCAATTCGTGTTTCTTATCAGAAGTCATACACAAGAAATTACATTTACTAACAAACAAACTGATTAATTTTGCAGCACAAAGTATAAAATTGTTCACGGTGCCAAGCTTCACGAGTTTGCCGAATAAATCCAGAGTGATAAAGTACACAAAGCCAAAACCATAAATTTTGTTTTCCACATCAGAAAACACAATACAAATATTTCTACTTTTATTGTTATAAGTGCATAACAAAGTCCCTTAATTCATTCAGCAAAATGGAATACAACATAAAATCTATCAGTCAAAGGTGATTTGTGAAATATTATTATTTCACGGAATATAAACATTTGATCATAGCGAATAATAAAAAGACAGTTGCGATGAAGAAAATTTTCTTTTAAACTAAATCATCAACTAGATTTTACATTCGTGTATTTATCATAAACGGGTGGGTTAGTTCCAGAACAATTTCCAGTTAAGGGTCAATTTAATAAAATTACAAATAGGAATTAAAAAGCTCTCATAAACAGGGAGGACGAATAATACTTAAGTGAAGTAGCATCATAATTACTTAAAAGACTGACGTGTTGTGCAATTATGGGTACACCTTCATGACATTGAAACAGGTATGGAAATCCCCGGCCAGCCTTGACATCTTCATCCATTTCACATGTGGCTGAAACAACCTCCTAAATAATTGAAGGAAGTGGGCTCTGTGAAATCTCTCCCGTCATTGGTTAATAATCCTGGTTGTTATCACTGTTGCAACGGATTTTATTCAAAACAAGCAATAAAGGTTAATAAGGCAGGATTTAATGAGTTCATCAAATTTCGTTCAGTTGAAACAAACTGGCGACGGAATAATAACACCTCGTTGGTTATTTTCTGATGAAATCTAGAAATATTTATCTCAAATTTTCAGAGAGCAAAGAACTCTGTTTATTATTTCCTAGCGATATTACGAATTATTTATGTTTTCCTTTACTGAAAATGAGTTAAATCGCATAGAAGATTCGTTCAACAACAACACGTCAGTCTTTTAAGTAATTATGATGCTACTTCACTTAAGTATTATTCGTCCTCCCTGTTTATGAGAGCTTTTTAATTCCTAATTGTGATTTTATTAAATTGACCCTTAACTGGAAATTGTTCTGGAACTAACCCACCCGTTTATGATAAATACACGAATGTAAAATCTAGTTGATGATTTAGTTTAAAAGAAAATTTTCTTCATCGCAACTGTCTTTTTATTATTCGCTATGATCAAATGTTTATATTCCGTGAAATAATAATATTTCACAAATCACCTTTGACTGATAGATTTTGTTGTATTCCATTTTGCTGAATGAATTAAGGGACTTTGTTATGCACTTATAACAATAAAAGTAGAAATATTTGTATTGTGTTTTCTGATGTGGAAAACAAAATTTATGGTTTTGGCTTTGTGTACTTTATCACTCTGGATTTATTCGGCAAACTCGTGAAGCTTGGCACCGTGAACAATTTTATACTTTGTGCTGCAAAATTAATCAGTTTGTTTGTTAGTAAATGTAATTTCTTGTGTATGACTTCTGATAAGAAACACGAATTGAACAAGTCATTTATCTATTGGAGAGTAGGTGCAAAGTCTATTAGTAGAAAAATTGAATTAAATAAACCTGATTGATGCTCACATCAGTGTATTTTTTAATTACACAAAGTTTAACCTGAAACAAACACAGGAGAGTATGAAGACTGAAGTGATTGTGCGTAATCAAGACTGTACTACCCTACCACCTGACATAGTGAGTACTGAATGATCATCAAATAGTTTTAATTCATGCCTTGTACATGGATCCATTCATGTTACCGGGTTTTGCTGCTTCTTTCCATGTGAATTGATATTTTTATGCAAGTTTCTCTTTAGGTATTTTCGGGAAAAACAACTGCTGCACAAAGCTGTCTTCAAAAGGTAGGCGTCTTTGTGTATTTACAGTGTAACATGTAATCAAATCAAGTACATAATTTTTACGTATTCAATGGTTTTGGTGACGGTGATCACTACGACCTGTGTTGCAACTATGTAGGTCTCTACTGTAATTGTTTTACTACAAACCTTTGATTTTAGTGAAGCACTTCGGTATTTGTACGACGCTTTTTACATACCACTGGTTTTTTCGTGAGTTATTTGATGTAAATCATAACATGTTTCTTAATGATGGTGAAACATTGGTTTCTGGATAGTTTTATGTAGATTATTGTGATAAGCTTCTTAATAGTGGTGACTGGCGGTGGAACCTGTGATTTGAATTTCTCTCTATTTGGAACTGATAGGCTAGATATAACTGCATTCTCACTGATTACTGGTTTTCCCTGTGACCCTTGAACCATATGCCGATCGCTTACACATGATAGACACTTCTTGTGTCATGGCTATCAATCACTATTTGTTCGATGCATGCTTGTATTATCTGTTGATTGAGACAGTTGGACTGAAATATTTGATCAGTGTTGACCTGTCAGCTTGTTAAAGAATGTTTCGTCAGTGACAAAAGATAAACATGTTATTCGGTGAGTGGTGGATTGAAAATGAGAGCTACGGTCGAATGTGATCACCCAACGGTGACTGCAAAATTATTTTCAACTAGCAAACAGTTCCTTGAGTTTAATTTTCAGCTGAATGGAGTATCCTAAGTTGTTTTGTTATTATTTCATATACATGTACAACTGGAAGTAGGTGGAACAAATTTTGCTTCGATTGAAACAGCACTGCTTTGATGACTGAACGCTAGTTATCGCCAACAGCGTTTTTATTTCTCTCTGAAAGGTTGATGCACAATGTTGTTGGTTTTCTTTAACTTCCTATTGCTTTTTTGCTTTTTCAGTGTACTCGGTGCAACCTTCTTGTTAGTGCTTTCCATTAATGAGAAAGTTAGAGAGACTTTCCCACTTAATGACGTACTGATCTCACTTTCGGTGAGTTTATCTTGTTTCATGACAATGCATGTTTGTTTCTTTCAAATCCCTGACAATTTCGCGAAACAATCGTTATAAATCAATGGCTGCTTAGCAAATTTGTACAGGCTGATTCGTCACAGATTAGTGACATCTTTGGCTCGAACGACGCAGAAGTCCGGCAAGATTTTGTGCTGACTACAGACTTCATTGAACGTTATGTAGACAAGAAATGTTTTGTGTGTGACACGATTAATCTGCTTGTCATGCGTAAAATTCATTTTACACTGCTGTGACTGTGGAAGACATACCTGTTGAGGGATTACATATTGATGATAGACAAATCAATGTGTGCAGCTGACCAGGTGAAGAATTCTAAAACGCTCTAGGCTACTGAGATATCATGTTTCACTACGTGCCTGTTCAATACGCGTATGCGACAGGGTTCAGAATGAGAGAATGAGTCAAATGTAGTAAATATTGTTTCAAATATGTTGATCACTCTAGTTCATAAATAGGGATGTGTGGTCGTCACGCTCAATCCCGGCAACAAGTATTGCAAAGCAAGCTACATAACCTGTTAACATCACGCCACCTTGGTTACATTTCGGCTCAATTGCATTACATTTTATTAAGATACGCCAACTGCATAATATTTCTTGAGTCAGTGCCTAGTTGAGTATTAAGGTGGGGACTAGCGTGACGTGATCAACTTGTTATCTGAAGGGTTTTCAATTTAACTAAATTGCCTTCCAAGAAAATTCGTGTACTCTCGTTTCCGTCATAAAATCCCTCATATTTTCCGATTGATCCATCCAGTTTTCAAATGCAAACTGATCACACTTTTATTAGTTTGTAGGAATATATTATGCTCCATCATCTTTTCATCCGAATAATAGACAAACTAATGATGAGTACCACAATATCACTTTACCCACTTTTATACGTATTTCTTAAAGTTGATATTTCAAGATAAACGTACTTACGATTTTGTAACTCAATATAATCCATGCATGTTTTAGGTCTTATCATGGTCTATTGCATTACCTGTTGTCACCAAATCCGTGGGATTTTCTATTTTTGTACCATGGGGAATAACAATCACTGTAGCTGTGGTGACTCTGATAATCGGATACAAAACTGTGAAACGGAGCGCGAAAGTGAGCTTCATATTATTGGGCGTCGCTGGTGGAATCACAGTGTTGGGTATCATTCTGTTAATTGCTTTGAGACTCACTAAGCGAGAAGTAAGTAGCTTGTTATTCGATGAAGAAGTAACTTGTCTAGTGATTGAAGCATGTAGTTGAAATAATGCCGATAAATTACTGTTTCTTGTGTAATTGGTCGTTTATTGTGCAGGACAGTTTCGTAGAACATACATCAACAACGTCGAACACACCACTGCATTGTAGCAGAATTTTTCATCGGTCAAATTTCATTCAGTAATCAAACGACATATCAACTATGAGTGGAAGCTCCGATTTGCACAATGCATTTCTCCTATGCTTCTGATATCTTCATTTCGAGTTTCCCATAGTGCTTCACAGTTTTGTTCATTTCTCTCATTTGCAAATCGATCTGCGCCTGTATGATTCAAGATTCATGGAGAAGATGTGAATTGACTTATCACTTTCAAATTCTCACTTGCTAATGCCACATAATTTTTCGTATACATGAACTATACGGATGTAAAACACATAGGAAATCACCGCTTGCATCAACCATCTATTGCATTTCAGTTATTCAAATTCTGACCGATTTCAGCCACCTTGACGTGGCATTGAATCTTCCATATCTAAATGACACAGCAAGCTGCACTGTTTGTGATTAGTGTTGCTGCAGGTTGGGCCATGACACAAAAGTTGTTTCGATGGCTGTAAGACCAAGAAAGTTATCGCCATAGCGTAAATTGTGCACACTGTGTTGAATTTCTGTAGGTTAGTTTGTAGTAATGGAGTGTCAGAATCTAAAATCATTATGGCGTGTCCTTCAGATGATGATGAGATCAGCTCCTCTCACTCTTCAGCCTGTAAAGTTTGAAGTCGCTGAGTTCGATCCTGGGTATTGGGCATCTGACAAATCCTGCGGTGGTCAACAGCCAGTGGAACGACAGTCAAGTAATTTAAGCGTTTAGCTTATGTGCTTCACCAAGTGTTACCACACTTGTCAAGTCTGTGGTAAGAACTGAATTCTAAATATTATTGTTACAACCTCATCAAATCACTAACAGGCCAACTGCAGAGAGTACATTCTAAGTGATATTGACTCATTGAAGGGGCTACTGACGATAGCCTGCAAGTCGATAACCACCAAACACTGCACATATTATGCAGTCAAGCACTGGATGACATGGAACACAGATAAACAGTAGGAAATAAGAATCTAAAAGTACTCGTTTGATATTAAAGACAAATCATCGATGTATTATTGGTGCGTAATACTTTCTATCTCTTATTTGCAGCTAATTGCAGTTATTCTGTTTGGCATATTTTTGGCTTTCGCTGTACTCATAGTAAGTCAGGTGGTGAATTTTTTAAATATTCATTAAACTAACAATGTTATGTAATATATATTATATAGCATCACTAATAATCTGTTGTTATTACACTGATATATCCTCAATTCACTATTGAGAATTCACGTATGCATTGCTTTGCGAGTGTGTTGGTGTTGCTCGCTCATTTCTCTGTTTATTATGAAAACACGTTTCTTCAACCTCACTTGATTGTATCATCTTTTATTATTTTGAATTTTGATTTCTTCTCACGCTTATTTAGTTGCGTCAATAATAAATATTTGTCCTCCTAATTTTACCCGTATCTAGCCCAGTGTACTTAAGAAAAGGAGTAAACAGCAAAAAGAATTTTCTTTTCGACGATTCATTTTCATAATCTGTACAATCTTAATTATATTAAACAAAGATTTCTGTCAAACTTTGTACTCGAAAAATGAAAAACACAATTTCAAATGTGTAAGAAAGGATGACTGAATGAAGGTTAGAAAAGAGGCAGATGTTGGCATGAAGTAACAAGTGTGAGAAAATGGCTAATCAATAAGCCAGTGTGGAATGGACAGGAACTAGTGGAAAGGTGATAAAGTGTTATAATATAAAATCTCTCTGAAAATATTATGTTATTATTAGACAGTAATAGAGTGGTAATGAAATAAGGATGATTGGAATATTAATGATAATGGAATATTAGCAGTAATAACATTAATAAAAGTGAAGTAACATAATAAAAAGAAGCAGCAAAATTATAGTAAGCACATTACTCTGGCCACGTAAGGCGAGAGAATGTATGTATTGCTTTTGAATGCAGTGGGCTGGTTTCAAATATATTGAGGGACTCTTTGTGAGACTATGAAGCATCGATGCAGAAGTGCTCAATGTCTGGAGATGACAAGTTGTTCGAAGATAGAGCTGCTGCTGTCATGTCATTTATGTATTAAAACGTTGTCCATGAATTACGCAATATTATAATTTGAGTACTTCAACATATTGCTACTTTTCCTGAACTACACTTTATGTTTTATTTGAGAAACTTCGACCGCATTGCCCATATGAACACAGCAATCTCTTATTGGAGGTGATTTCACTTTCCAAATACCATATGTTGAAAATACGTTGATTTCCGAATCTTGCTTCAGTTTGAGAAAGTCATTTGAATTAACTGAATAATCTCTCAACAGGAAGACCATCAGTCGAATCAATATATGTGCGAAACTTGAGGACAGTGATGTAAACATTTCGAAGTAAACGACAGTCTCGTTGAAGCGATCATTCATATAAGTTCCAATGCTTTTCTATTTGTTTCTCTGTAATAGGTGATATATCTCACCGGACAAGGTATAAAGCGTTGCAACAATGAAACAACGAGGACTCTCCTACCAAGTGGGTTAGCTCTGGTTACTTGGGCAGCAATTGTTTATTTATTCGTATCCATAGCTGTGATGTTTATATAAGGCAAAATAACGGAACTTTATTCAATTGAAGAATGATTTCCTCCTTCTTTGGAACAGCAAGTTGATTTATGCATGAAAAACATTCAACTCTTTTTCTCTCTTGTTGGCTCTGTTGTCAAAATGAATTCTATTTGAAATACATTTTGCAGTGTTGTATTTTATATTTTCTATTAACGGATGAATGGATTTTACTCATGTGTTGGATAGTGAGACACTACCTACTTCGTCTCATAGTGTGAGAACATTTTATCTTGAGATGAAGGGAGTGATAAACAACTCAAAATTTATTTTTTTTCCTTTTACTAACAAGTAAATAACAGGTATAAATTAATTAACGATGAGTTAGTGCAGATAGATTGCATGTCTTTAATGTATATCAACTATTATCATAAGAATGTTTAAAATTATAATTATAATTATGTTTCAATAGTTTACACACAATGATAAGTTTTGATATTGGTAATTGTAGTAATTTACCAATAACAAACTTATCATTTTGTGTGAACTATTGAAATATGATTATACTTTATTTGATTTAATCCACAATGCTCAAGCTTTTCACTGATATTAAGTTCATAATGAATATGCCACCTGCACCTTTTGACAATTTACCAATGAAACCTTTGCACAGAAATACAGATTAGGGTTTCCATTGATCTAACTCAACCAAAACAGTTCTCATTTGACTAAACATTGTGTGTATTCAGTTGTGAATGTTTGTCTGTTAATTCTTACAGGTGAACACAAAATCTCTTCATCTTCTCCCAGACTGTGTTATTGTGAGTATCCTGCACTGTGTGACTGTAATCTGCCTTTCTTTGCAGTTGACTTTTCTGTCATGATGCTTAAGGGGGCATTTTCCTGCTGCATTTAAGCCCGCTTCCGCTCTTGTTGAAATCATGATAGTAATAGCCTCAGACTGGTCGCGGTTGACATCCGACTGACAAATCGTTCAGTTAAGAAACTGGATAATCCACTCACATTCAATTTTCTCACATACATTCCCAACATATCTATCTCCTCAAATGTCTTTGCAATCTGTCTGGTACAACTAGCTGGCAACATGAAGCTTATATACTACTTTCAGTTGCTTACTTTACCTTGCATCGAGGGAATATTAATTAGTCGACGGGATTTGCAAAATCTTCAATCTCTTACCAACATTCATTCTCAAACTAGCAAGTCATCCGCTCTTCATTGAACGATTAGCTTATTTTTTTATTTGCCTTGAAATTTAGTAGCGGAGATAGAGGGGTATTTCTTAGTTTCATTACTTCTTTTAGGTCAAGCTCAGAAACCTATGTGGTTCCCCTGAGAATCGCCAATATCTGTTGTGAATTTGCAGTATTCAAAATGATCATGATTACTCTGCTGTTATATTTGAACGCGTTTCAGATGGTTGACTATGCTCACTTTACTCAGTGACTGAGAAGTATGGAGATATTTGTCATGTCATTCCATTCATGCCGTTTAATAAAGTAATCTCACATGAAACATCCACTCGAGCGAATGTAGTGGCAAAACTAAACGGTTTGGAAGAACTTGTAAGAAAGTGGTTATGCTATTGATATGCTACACTAAACCAACCTTACAAAATATCAAGTATGCCTAATTCTCAGCCTAATCAGTAAAATATTTGACTTGTTAGTGCTGACAATAAAACATTAATCAAAAAGACTGAGTTAATTGGAAATGTGGGCTTTGTATCCCAGTAGAATAAAAAGTTAAACTAATTTAGGGAAAAGTTATTAGAAATCATTTGATGAATATACCTGAACTGCATATTCTGGGAGTGAGTTTGTTATCAGCAGAAAAGGACTAGACTCGAATTAGTCCACTCTCAGACACTTAGAGCATCCTCAAGTGGGCTAGACTTTGACTCAGGTAATATTATGTTGATTCCGTTTAACCTATTTATTTCTGGAAGGAAAGCAAATTCAATGAGGAAATATATTCCTTATCAGTTAGTTCCTCATTACTGACTCTACGCCACTGTATAGTTTGTTTGCATGATGACTAAAGTAATCATTTGGTTATTTTATTTACAACACAATGTCTGAAAAGTTCCTTGAAAAGGCCTGCTTAAGCAGTTAAGCTATACT